CTGGAAGGGAAATATTTTTCCATCCTGATTTGAAGCAACAACAGTGACGAAATGATTTACATTGTGAATATTGTTCATAATATCAACCTGGTTTTTTTAACATATTTTCACATTTACTGTGAATTACAACGTACACTTTCCCTTTAACAATTTTTCCTTTTTCACTTGGATTATATTTACATGAAATGAAATATTATATAAAGGTTGGATGAGATTTTAGCTTTTGTCTTTGACAAATCACGCTTTCCAACGCTCCATGGACATCATATGCAAAATTAAATGTTAATTTAATTTAAGGATGAATGTACGTGTTTATTGAGCTCATGTACCTTCAAATGGGGTGGTATTCCAATAATCTGGAAAGGGGGTCGTTCCATCTTCTGAGACAGTAGTAGTCATTTCGTAAAAAATCTCCGTAGTCCCTACGAAAGAAATAGAATGAGAGTTTCTGCATTATTACTGGACATTCATCAATACCTCAGGTGGTTAACGAGTTCCTGTCGGTTGGTATCCAGCATGTCCAGTCACATTGGTGGCTTTTAACAACACCGACTAGTTTGAAACACTTTCTCAGTGGTACATGAAATTTTGACTTCTAACATTTGGGCTGTAAGCCTAACATATGATCATGTGACCGTATTGATTGAATTTTTTGATTTGCCAACAGCATTTGGGTGTATCAAATACAGGAGGCTAGACCTTCGCTGGACGACACACCCTTTCCAACTATCATGTTGTGTTTTTCTTGGAATTATTTGTATGTACTTTATAAACAAACAAAAAAAACTTATATTTAGCAACCCAGTAAGCCTTAAATTTGAATAAAATCTGGTACAATGACTTTTTAAAATTCACATCAACATACATTAACAATTTGCTTTCTCAATACTAAAACTATTTTTGCTATACCCTGTGATTTGGGGCAAGCTTTTACTTAGTTACATAAGAGACGCCTTGCACCACTACACTGTTTTCAATGGGTGAAAAGGGCACAAAGGAACCAGTCCATTCCCGAGATGGTGGTCGCTATGCGAAAGCTTGCCCCGAAGCACAAGGTATAGCAACAGTGTCTTTAGTCTGGCGAATTCAAATCATTCTGTTTACATGTCTGTGCAATCAGATAACTCAGTGTACCAGATTTTATTCAAACTTAACTCGCAAATGGCTTATCAGTGCGTCTGGATTTCAAAGAATTCATATTGCACTCTATACCAGCTCAGATAGCAAGTGAGGCACATTCCAAAGACAGGTCTAGAGGGGCATTCCATGTTTTAATCTAGTACATCTAAAACCAACAACGGGCCTGGGGATGATAAGAGATTAAGCCCAAGTTGAGGTCAAATCATCTTCATCCAAGGGGGTGAAGACGGTCACCATACCCGACTCAGCAGAGTCCACTTCTAGCTGGGGACAAGAGCTTCTTCAGTTATCTCTTCATCTTCTTTGGAATTTCAAACAAATAGGAATTTTTCGGAAAGCCTTTTTAAAACAAAAATTTCCTCTTTGATTCTCCTGTGTTTATTTTTGTTTTCTTTTGTAATTGATGACACACAAATAATGTTCAGAGTGGCAAATCGCCACGTGGAATTCATGAGACCTATTTTGAGAGTTTTATTATTAAACAATGAACAAAGAATGTTGAAGATTATTGATTTAAAGATTTACTCAGACAAATCCCTAGCCCCACAAATAGGGCTGTAGTTGATCGCTTTTTTAATCTGTCTCTTAGCTGTTGCCACCACAGATAAGAGACAGATTGTAAAAGTGAGCCAATACAGCCCTATTTGAGGGGCTAACAAATCCCATGCAAAACGCCAAACAAGAAACAGTTCCATCATTAAAAAGTGACATTATTCATTCAACAGGATTCAGAAGTTGCGTAATCGCCGAGCAATGACAAAAAGAGAAATGTGTTCTGGTTGAGGTCGCTACATGATGCCCCAAAGAACGAGGGACACAGTTGAACGACAAGCAGAGTCGACCCAAAAAACAAGCAAATTTGACTAACATGCTGGTGTCTGCCAAGTCGTGTACACATTGACGATGTGCCTCGCTGACATGAAGGGACAGGCTCCCCGACTCTGCACCGTGCCTTCCATCAACGTAATGGAGTACGCAACGTCCACGTACAGCGTGCCGCTGAGCTGGATCTGTATGGTATCTGGGGAGGTCTGCGTTACGCTGCCCGTGTACATGTTCATGCCGTACAGGCTTTGAACGAAAACGCTGGTGCTGATAGATATCAGATTAATCTACGGGAAACAAAACGGAAAGTGCTCCACTCAGTCCACGCCTAAAACCTGGGTTGTCAATCCAGACTTAAACCACTGCACAAGCTTATGACTTTCATTTGTGATCACAAAAACCATTTTCGTAAGGAAACCCATCTCTCTTTCAACAGTAATCCCTCAAAATATGAAGGAAATAATGAACTGTGGCTAAGAAATACTAATTTGAATTCCTAAATACCTGGAACAATTTTCTATTCTTATTGGTCAAAATGCTTCACACGACCACGTATTAACATTTGATAATGCCTGCTGGGAAGTGATGATGCCCGCTGCGTAAATCACGCGCTGGCACCTGGATACAGGACAGTTTAATCGATTCTGATGGGTCAAAAGTCTGTGTGCAAGGGACGCGCTAAATGGGTCTCCACTGCAAAGTCTCCTTGAGTGACTTTATCAAACTCACAGGCTGGTCAAACTTGAAAGTCAATACACCAAGAGAAGTTGGAATGGTAGAACCCTCAACAGGTGACGTTTCAATCACTTTGGGTGGTTCTTGGATGAAACAAATGAAACTGATATTACATGTATGTGGATGTATGAAGACAAAAGAACAAATTCAAAAGAACAGCTACTTGTGATACGCGAGCAAGCAAGTCTTTTCCTAACCAGTTGGCTCATTAAGCTGGTGTTTATCTCTCAGGAAATGACTCAGAATTTGTTGCTTCCCCAGCTAATGCTGGTACCCATTTATACTCCTGGGTGGAGAGAGGCAAGCAGGGGTGAAGTGACTTGCCCAGGGCCACAACCCATTGCAAGCAGCTGGATTGGAACCCCTAACCCTCTGTTTGGGAGTCACAAACCTTAACCATTTGGACGATCATTAACCTTCCTTTAGTTTTACAGCACAAATATGCACAAATGCCCAAGGTCACTCTCTTGCATGTTGGTGCAGTGCACAACATGACACAGCTGTGCTTCTTTGAGGTGTTTACCAAATGACCCAAAGAGTGACTTCAGCATAGGAGAGTTAAACAATGATCGTAAAATGTCTGCATATGTCATCCCACATCTGCATATGTCATCCCACATATTTCACTTCTTCAAAGGAATGGTAGAGTAATTCCAAGCAGGTAAGTGATGCAAAACTTAGAAAATGCCAAGAAAATTGAAACACAGGTCTTTCTCACCTCCTACAACGAGATTAATACACCGCACTTCACTTGTATGGCTGCAAAACAACAAAAATGGAGTTCTGACAAGTGCAAATAGGTCAGGGAAGCAATCTCATTCCATTTCATATTTTAGGTTGCACACTTAGATGTACCTAGATGTAGATGCCCTCGATATTAGGCAGGGTAGTTGTCACATTGAAATCTGGGTTAAGGAGGTGTGAAAAAGCACTTTGGATGAGCTGCAATTAAACCATTAGTAATAAGCATATTTGAATACTTGATTGAATATTTGAATATTCGATTGAATCAATGTCTACATGTATCTTAATGTCAAAACTGACAGGAAATTATTTTCATTCTTTTTTTTTTGGACTGCAAATAATAACGAGAACACACAGTGCTATACAATGTCATTCCTAGTCAAGCCTCCCTGCCTACGTACTCACAAGTGTAATTTTTGGACGTTGAAAAACTTGCAGGACTTTGCATCTGCTTAGGAAACACTACTCGTGTGACTAGCCCTTTTATTCCGTTTTTGTCAAGTTTCGAGTAATCCTGGTTGGTGCCCAAGAATTGAAAGCCTTGATAAGGTTACCATTTTGAAAACTCTTGAATAAAAAAACAGAAGAAAACAAAATTCTTCTGTGGGATGAAGCCAGAATTACATGTATAGTCAAAGATAGTCAATGAGCAAGAATCTTTACCCTTCGGAATCAAGGGCATCGAAGCAGAAGATGTGTGCTCCTGTTTGACTTTCGTCTGGTGTCCACATGGCCGTGATGTAATACTCATTGCTCTTGCCGGGCACCAGTGAAACATCTGATGTTGTCATGCCGATGGGAGAGGATGTTTCTATCTCAAGTATCCTATGAAACAGTCCATGAAAATGCCAAGATTTCATTTCATGCAACTGTCCCAATATCAACTTTGCTCCTGAAGATTAACATTTTTGTTACTTTGAGCCTTTTTAAAATTACTTGCTGTTTTTAAGACCTTGTTTACAGGTTTTGTTTATGACACAGACCATGAAAATGCCAAGATTTCATTCAACTGTCCCAATATCAACTTTGCTAATGAAATGTAACATTCACGTTAATTTGAACCTTTTCTAATTACTGGCTGCTTTTAAGAGCTTGTTCACCGATTTTGTTTGTAGATTATTGCCTTTTGAGGCAACATCCGTACTCTTCCTAAAGTGCTTAGACCTGTTTGAAGCCTTGCATTTTTCCTAAAACATATAGCAGGGAGGCTCGGCCCCCCCTTGCCGGCCTTCCTCCGACCCAGAACCTTTTCTTATCTTGAAAACTGGACACACCGTTCTCACAAATTGCCTACTTTTCCCAAGACAGATCAGCCAAACAATGTTAATTTTTCCAATGTCCATGTGCAATGCATGATGCAGGCTGACAAGCACGAGAAGCACTCATTACAGAAAACAGTAATGACACCCTATTTTGGACTGATCTGCAACTTCACAGAAATACTCAAATGGCCGCCTATGCATGCAAAATTTGAGAAAGATCGGGCATGGGACAGGAAATCCAGATCTTGGCGGAGAAGTTTGCGGTGGTCCGACAGAGCCTGGCTCTTATAGGACGAAGGTGCAAACTTGTTCCAAATTTTGGCCAAGAATGTGCCCAAACCAGCATGTTTTATGTAGGGAAGTTAATTTTGGGGGGTTAAAGTTTTGATCACTGTGGAGATATGGAGATACATGTATATTCACAGTGAGTGGGTATTTGGAATCAGCGGAGAGTTGCTGTCTCCTCTGCACTCTCCATCCCTTGGACCCGAACTAGAAATCCCTGCTGCTGTCACGCTGTGTTCCTACGCAGGTCCGGTGGCTGGCGTTAATGCCTCTAAGGCCAACATGGCGCCGTGACTTGGCAAACTGCACCTACACCAGTCAGGTTTAAAATGTTGCACGAGAGAGCACTCACGGACTGATGGATGCCTTGGCTCGTATTTGCAAGCTGAAGATCTCCCCCGGTGAGGCGCCACGGCAACTGCCCTGGCCTGGGGTGGGGTGGATCAATGTTGGCCTCTCATCGCAGGCGTCGTAGCTGTAGTAGACGTTGACCACGAACTGCAGTGGAATCTTGCTCTTTGCTGTGGTGGACATCGGGGAGGCGAAATCTTCAATCATGAGAGCGACGGCGTACCATCCAGACATCAGCCTGTCACCGATGGACAGACTGCAAGTGCTCTGCTTCAGAAAAACGAGACAAACCACACAGTACAGAACACCTCTGAATAAGAATGCGACACTTAAACATTAAAACTTACAAAAAACTATATCAGTTTCTTATAAATTGTCCAAATATTCAATTCTAAATGAAACTGATATTTTAAAATTTGGCATCATTTGAGTTTTCCCACGATACATTGCATGGTAATGCAGCAATGGAATTATGCAATATTAATGAATGTAACATTACACACAGTTTCATATTTCTGGGTTATTTTTGTCACCGAGTTGAAATGTGCGATCGTCAGTATTTTGGTATAGTCCATCACAAGTCCTCGCAAATAGTAATCTCGTTATCCAATCTTAACTCTTAAGCCAAGTCAAACGTTGTTCAAATGAACTGGAACCAAGACATTCTTCTGTCATTGTTTACCCTTTTACTGACAACTAGTCGTGTGAAAGGACAGTGATGGACTTGACGACAGCACAGGTGACAGAGCGTGTACGTACTCAGCTTTTACAAGTTCACAGCAGAAAGTGTTCCCTGTGATGCTCAACCTTTGCAAACAAAGAACCTGGTCTTGCACCCACCTCATCCAGTGTAGAGTTGGGCATGGGACTGACGGAGCCCGACTCATTGGTACCCGATGCCCAGCGACATTTGACCACGTCTCCATCTGGATCGCTCACTGGAGAAACATCAAACAATTACATGTTGGTCTTTCCTGCAATCACTCGAAAGGGAACAACGGCACAAGGAAATAGTGAAGCAGTCCCAACTGTAGATGTTGAAATCTCTTTTGTTACAAGCACAGCTTTTGCTTGCAAAATACAAAGTGTTAAAAAATCTCCTGCGCATAATGAAACACTAAAATACAGAGCAAATGAAAAAAATTACCTCTGGGGTAAAAGTAAGAACCAAGAAACAAGCATGGCCGAACTTTCTGAAAACTTTTGCTACCTGTAAAAAAGGGCACTCTATTTTTGTAACTAAAAGAAAGGATTATCACACCAACAGGAGAGGGAGTTATTTGTTGTAACGATTTGTCACAAAAGTTACCACTTGGGAAAAACAAATCACAAATCTAAGTGGTCAAGAAAAAACTCAAAACGGAGCGGAAACTTCTTCATTTACACGTAGTCAACGATAGAAAGAAGGTTGAGGTGATGTCCTACGTACTCAGACATTATGCATGAGCCTATGGTTTTTAGCCCCAGCCACTTCTCACTGACTTGTATAATACATGTACATGTATAAAGCCGCAGCCAAGTGATTCAGACATGGCTGAATAAAAGTCTGTGCAATAAGGCAATGAAACAAAAAAACTTGAAATGTTTCATGTCCTCTTTGGTTCACTGTAGAACGGTGGGCCAAGTGGACTCTTCTGAGATGGTGGGCAGATTTTCTAGACTCTTGCTGATTTCTCTTAACTTAAATGTACATGTAAGGAAATCTTGCATAAAAACATGTTTTAAATCCGCACACATTTACGGCTTCACACAAAACTGCATTACTCGGAATAGTCAGCGTTGTTTCGCATCCTAGCTGTATACGAGTTTCCGGCATCCATGATGTCATTGGTGATGAGTTGATGACACCTCTGTTTTGGGTCAAATCAACGTGAGCCTGGGCGCTGTACCCAGCACCAGCATTGCCAAGAGTCATCCAACAGCATCCGGAATACCTGGGAAAAAGGAAAACATTGGGAAAGAGTTCTGTACAAATGCATCCCACATTCTGCTTCAAAACACCATCAAGGTTTAAAAATCCTTGGACCTAAGGACAATTTTTCCTCGGACAAGTTCAGAATGAGATGGGAGCCACGTTGTAATTGCTGAAGCTGCCACTCTGCTGACAACGATGACCTTTCAACTAACACGACCGGGTGAGCTAGGCAGGCAGTCGTGGACACGGGTGTGGGTAAAGGAAAATTCTTATGAAATGAACCCCCATCCCATAAAAAATTAATCCCGGAAAACCTCATGAAATTATTGGGGAAAACTCAGTGTATTAAACGGCTTAGAAGTTTCATAAAAACTGAAGTAGCACCATGTCGGATATTATCTGTAACTTCAACTTAAGGCTTGCATAAACCTCACAGATCTGAAAGTACAGTGGCAGTGGACGATGAGCGCCACAGTTCTTGGGTGTTCATTGGGCCTGCACGTACAAAGTCTGAAAAAAATACCAACTCCCGAGAACCTGCATGACTAGGGTAGGGCAGGGCTAGTAAGTGGTAATAGCCCAGGTGGACTCCTCGAATAGTCAGTCGTACTCGTCATGAAAATAATAAAGACTGGCGTCCAACCTGGGCCATGTGTGTGTGGGCTACAGTAAGCCTGAGGGGCCGGCAGCAGCCTAGACAATATAGAGAAAGGAAAAGCAAATCTTGGTGTTAGAACCCTAAACTTGGTCTACCTTGATCAGCTCCAAACTTTGAAAGCACCGCTTTCACTTCGAGCCTTCGACTTCCATATCCATGGCTTTTGGAAAGTTTTGGCAAGCATGGGGATCGAATCCGAATAGAGGATGGCTGGTTTAGTTCAGTTTTCCTCAGCTGCAGTTTTTCTTTTCAATTGAGGGCGCTATGCATTGAATTTTTGAGGCAGCAGAGAGCTCACATTTTTGAAGTTAATTCAAAGTTCGCGGCGGCGGATACCGCCCTGAGCTGAAGTGCACCCTCACCGGCGAAAGAAAGACAGATGGCACTAAGTTTTCCAAAGGGGTTCTAGCACGCGTTCGGCGTGTGCACGCACGCGAAGACCGCACATTCTAGACAAAAGCCGGCGTGTCCAAAACGGGCTTCCAGAGCTACGGCTAGGTCTATCGTCTGCGCGTCTCCACGCATTTCCAATGGAGCGAAGACCTAGACTTAACTCTAGACAAGAGATTCGGATGCAGCCTAAAATCGTTGCACGTACTCAGCGTGCTCCACGTAAAATTACGCAAAATTTCAATGTTGCAAAAGGCCTTCCATTTTTGAAAGAAAATTAAAAAAGTTTTAAATAACACTGGAATATATAGGATACATGGCCATAGTTATTTGTCGTGAATGAGGTTGAAGTTTGGAAAACGCTAGAAAAGTAAACCGCGTACTACTATTTCTAAACCCGCTGGCCTTGTGTCTCAGTGTGGCAGTCTTTGTGGCACGCGCGTTGGGGGGGGGGATCTCTGTCTTAATGATTATCATGAAGCTATTTGGGGGGTACATTCCTATCTGAGTCTCCCGTGAAAAGTCCTGGGTGCGCCACTGATCTAGTTCCGGGACTGATATACACTCGTCTTGACCTTAAGCGGGATCTTAATTAAATAAGTCTCGATCTAAACATGGATCGATTCTACCTCCATGATCTAAATGAGATAGGTTTGTAATAGCACCATGGATATAATAGTATGCGGGGTTCTGAAAAGAACTGGTGGTACTCAGTGCTTTGGACAGTATGCTTTGTCCGTCGTCAGGAGGTCTATCTCTCAAAATGACGTCACTTCCTGACCTCCATTGGCACGGGACTCTAATTCGCCTCCCTTCAAAAGGCCTGTTCTAAATACGTCCACATCAGTAGCATACAGAGTTGACCCTCAAAGGGGCGAGGGTTAGGTCTCCTTGGAGAACTAGTTTCGTTTGAGCATCCCCTAGAAAACTATCTCCTTCCGAAAGTTTTGTTGTGGGTCAAAACGTTTTCTTTCTCACTGTTAAACCTTTTCAGTTGTGGATTCCTGTAATCATATCGGCCAATATACGTCTTTCATTCGTGGCCAACAGTCACTTAGGTGTTGGCAATACTCACTTTAAGCTGATAGCTAAGTCACGCCCCCTGAGGTCGTTACTCACAGTAAATCGAAGGCGGTTATCCCTGGTTCGATGGTTAATCGACTGCTCCCTTCACCCGTCTGCCAATCCTCAGCCTGGCTGTAGTCGGTACACTGGTACTTGATCCGGGCTATCTCGTTGTTGCTGCACTGCTGGCATTCCAGGTGCTCGCCGACGTCAATGAGGGTGCCATTACTAATGTCCGACTCGTCGCAGACCTGTGAGCCCCAAGATCGGCTGAACGAAAAACGCCAGTTGATGTCCACCTGTGTTCAAGTAAAAATTGATATTAACATTGCCAATGGGCTTCATTCTAAGCAAACCACATCATCTATACAATTGACGTTCAGTCACTTGTCATGAGTTTTCGGCCCCCTCTATAAATTTTTAAGAAAATTGCACAGGCCACCATCCAAAAGTTTTACAGAACTTGTGTCAAAACACAAGCGAGAAGTTAGTTGACAATACAATCGAAAAGATAAGCATGATATACGGACCCCAGAAAGCTCTGTCTGTACCGTACTATACCCCACAGAATCTGTTTGCTTTGTGTCAGGAAAAGAAAAAACAGTTCAAAATCGCTGGAGACACAGCAGTAATCACGTCCGCGCTAAGCGATAAGTTTGAAGGCAATAAGTTTTTTCCTAGCCCTCGGAAAACCTTTTAACTCTTAAAGTTTACACACCCATCAATCACTCTTCCGGGTACTCCCTGCTGACACTTGACACACCTATGGAAACGGCACGTACATGTACTTGTATTATTATAATGATGCCACGGCCTATTGTACTCGAAATTGACGAAACATTTTTCCTATGTTAGTTTATTTTGCATTCAAACAACCAAGTTAGGGTTTATGTTACTCAAGGCTTAACGACACATTCCTTGTCGGAAGAGACAGTAACAGTACAAAAGGGCCATCGTTTCGCAAAACTGTATGCGTGGGAAAGTCTTTTAGATGCACCGGACAGGTGTGACACTTTCCTGAACCGCACCAATTTAGGCGTTTCACAATTGTGCGCCTCCAAGAGTCTGCAACGCGTTACCGGTAGCTAATCAAAATGCGCAAAATCTGTCTACTCAATGCACGTTTGGAAAGGTCGATAGATTTCGCGCATTGTGATTGGCCAGCGCATTGAAAAACTCTTGGAGGCTCGTATTCGATATGAAGAAACTTTGAGACACTTGTGGCGGCAAATGCATGATCTCACCGGTAATGTATAGCAACAGCAAAGAACCGAAGTGTTTGCCGCCACCAAGCAACTAAGAAGTCTTCTCTTGTATTTATTTCAATCATCTATACTGCACCTTCAGAAATCTTTAAAATTTCCAATGCAATTGCTCTTAAACTTTACAAAAGGAAAGCAGGCTACAGCACGTCTAGCTCTTTCTGCTTACAATAATTGTAACACTAGTACTGGCGCCAATTCTGAAGTGGCGTTATCGATCAGGTGATTAGCCTGAACTTGACGGATACTTAACTAAAAGAACAATATTCTCAACCCTCCTCAAAGCTTTGACACAAACAAAAAAACCTCTTGGTCATCTACGCCAAAGATACTTTCCTGTTATCTTGCGTTTAAAATGCAACATGATTCAGCGACTGATTGTTATAAAAATAATGAAAGGAAATGGGAAGAAATATGCAGACGGATGCATGTCGGCTTACAGGGCACCGCAGCTGTCAAGAGGCTGATCCAGCTTTGTGGATTTCGTTTGACTAGGCTGGCAACCGACAACGAGACGAGTGCACCTTGGACCAGTCACATGCTTGAGCCGGCATTGTACTGTCAAGTACCCAACGATTGCGTGCAAAATTTGTGGATGTGATGTCCCACAGGCCGTACAATGTCAAATTACATTTTTTTTACAAGCTGTACTTTGTCAAAGACAAATTGATAAAGTACATTGTCAAAGCTAAATTGAAAAAGAAAATGTTCATTCGGGTTTATGTTCACATGAAATGACCTGACAAGGATGTGGAATGATTAATTTCCATCCCGCTCCTATGAAAACGTGATGTAATTTGTGACACCTGCTGCTGGCGGATTGGGGCAGAGGGTGAACAATGGGGGACACGCCCCCTACCAAAAAACGTTCACAAGAAAAGAGACCTAATGGAGACCAATCCTCTTTCTTCCAGAAAGAGTGTGAAAAGCCTCAAAAGTTTGCATATTCATAAAGGCCATTGAAAGATACACGAAAAGATTCCACTGTTTTGTCCACCCCTTTAAAAATACCCCATCCCCCAACATTTGGAAGCAAGTACTTTGAACTTTAATGGAGGTAGGCCCTGTTAAGGTAAATGTCGTGCAGGTTGATTTATATGTGGTTTTGCTCTCGTTATTGTCAATTTGTAAATCATGCCCCCCCAAGACAACAACACAAGTTTTAGACAGAACTGACCAACTTACGGGCTGATTTGGCTAATCGGAAAAGAAGGCCGTGGCCTTGCGGCTAGCAGTACCGGGATTTGCAGTCGGCAGGTAAAACACCAGGTTGCTGGTTCGAATCCAACCTGGGGTCATAATGTGCTTGCCCTTGGGCAAGCCACCTCGTTAGTCATTGCCTCTCTCCGCCCAGGAGTAATTGGGTACCTGTAAGGGCAGAGATGGTTATTGTGGTTGATTTTACCAGCTTTGCGCCGACTAGTGGCTGCATCGAACTGTGTACTCCCCAGGGAGCTGAGATGGTAATTGGAATGTTTCACAGGCCCAGGTAATAATGACGAGCGCTTTGATCTGTGTTTTAAAGGTGCTTCATAAATATGAAGAGCACTGCTCTGGGGAATTTGTCTATAAGCTTCAAAAGGTGTGATCGTGGATGTTTGTTTGAATCCATTTTCTCGTCAGACGCGAAATCTGGGGTCATTGAGGGACAGAAATATCAAGTCCAGCTTGTGATTGTCCAGCGCTCCCATACAGCCGCGCGACGGAGGGCACATTGTCTAAGATATTTTGTTTCATGAAATTTGGTACGAGTAGCTTAGCTTGGCCTTTTGACCTTACCTTCGCCTTAATTAGAAGCAGTGCCTTAAACTAAACACCCTTAAGACTGCTGAGTCAGATGGAATCGACATCTGATCTCGGATTTGCTCTATCCTTTTTCAGGTCAAAAGAGACGCCTCTCCGGGTCATCAAAAAGACACTTTCCCCAGATATACCAGGAACGGTTAGAGTAAATTGGATTCAGATTCTTTGTCAATATGACCAAAGAGTTTTCGAGGTGGACGAAATCATTGTGCCTCCACTATTTGTGATCTCTGCATCCATAAAAAGTGACTGAAACAAATTAAACTGCTTTGTGCACTTACCTTAGAAGATTCATCTGTTGCTTTCCAAGACAGTGTAAGGCTTCGAAGGTGATTCGACGAGACGACGCCGAAGAGACATACGTGAAGACCCAATGACAAGATGGCGAAAGAAAGGAGCCCGCGCGCCATGGTGTTCCGTCGATCTCCCAACTCGGAGTGGCCAACCAGTTTGGCAGATGCACCGTAAAAACCTAACCCTCGATTCCGTTTTTGGATCGATGACGTTAAGGGACTTTTGGACAGAGGGAGAATTCCGGATTCTCGAGCAATAGACCTTGTCCAAGAAACTTAACATTGAACAAGAGGGTGTAATTTACACAATTTGCTAAACATTAATTACTCACTGGCGTGACCAGGGGTCATTTCAAAGGGGGGGGCAGGTTGCATCCACTTTATTCAAAGAGGCTTTTAAAGGAAATTAACTGTGGCTTGTACATAGTACAAATTTCAAAATTCCAAGGGGGGGAGGAGGTAGCGGTAAGAATCCTAAAGAGAGTACCTCTGAGGGGGAGGGGGGAATGTGCCCCATTCTGTCGTGGCTGACAATCGCCAAAATCTTTGACTGTGGAAACATAATTATTAACCAACCACCTACCACCATGTGTAACCTTCCAAATTTCTCAAAAACACCAGTCTTCAAGCCCCTTTCTTAGATAATTCAGCAGGCCTATAAGTGACAACATCCCTCCGGTGCAAAATTGACTGCACCACATTCAAAAAGTCCGACAGACGGTCCACAAATCAACGATAAAACTGTCAAACCCATTCCCGTTTTTGAAGTCAAACATAGAAACATTTAAAATTCTTTGACATCTGAAGATTATAAATTCTCGTCCTTCTATTGATTTTAAGCACCCTCTGGATCCGGGATCGGGATTTAAAAAAGTTGAGGCTGATGCTTCAATTGAACTAAATAAACAAGGGTTTATTGCATTATCTCTTAGGCATTATGGAAATAAAAATGTTATCAGTTTGGACTGTTTATCAAAGAATCGTCTATCACTGTCGGTAGCGATGATCTTTTAGCAAACTTGTCGAGCTTGACTATCCGTATCGGTGACGTGCAGCGCTTGCGCTTGTCAGTCATGTCCAGGTCAGCGGTGTGTAACTCAGATCCTTGTCCATGGACATCTTGGCTATCTTTACGCCAACAGTAGTCTCCGATCAAGGCTGGAATCCAAACAAAGAGCACGAACACTACCATCAACCTTGACAGCAAAGGCGTAGCAAGGTCGTTTTAAGAACCTACTGACGGATCTAGATGTAGATTAGTCACGCCGACCTTTAATTAAAATATGGACTGTGAGGTTTGAAATAATGAAATGAGAGCAACCCAGGCCAGGTCAATACGATGTTTTCCACTTTCTGGAAAACGAATTTAGAGCAATACTAGTACTACCGTTATCGGTAGTTACAAAATAACGAGCAGTAAAAAAAACCCACCGTCATACAAAAAATCAGCTGATAGGAGTGGCTACAGTGTAAAAGAATGAAAATTTTCACCGAGTTTTCTTAATTAAAAATTATGTCCATATTAACAAGGTACAAACGCAAGTATTGGTGAAGTGCATGCTTTTCCTGGCAACCAAAACAGTACATTATCGGACGACAGCCGATGATGTTAGAAAATAAGCACTCAATCGTCCGGTGGAAAAAGAACCTTTCAATGTGGAGAAACGTAGGCCAGTTGTTATTGTGTGCGTGTGTGTGTGAGAGTTTGTTTCTGCA